AGTTTAATAGATTAACTTTTAATTTTCAAGACGATCTTTCTACTTCAAATTAAATTTTATTATTGTAATTTGTAAATATTTATTTACTTTGTAATTTGTATAGTGTTATTGTAATCTTGTATAGACTTTGTAAGTTCGTCAAATTTGTAATTCGTCTTACAATGATTGCACTCTTTTTTCCTTACTAAGTTTTTATCTCAATTGAGTTTTTCTTGGTAAGGTTTTTAACGAGACAATCATGAATTACAATTTAAAAATCAATAAAGAAATAATTTTTTTTATATAATTCGTGTGTTCATTTCAAATTTTAAATTAATATATATATATAATATAAAAATATTACAAAATTTGGACATTTTCGGTCGGGCAACGGGCAGCTCAACCAGGCATCGGGCAGCCAAAGGCTGGCCGAAGCCCGTCCAAGGTGGAATTCGGGTCGAGTCGGGCAACCCGAAACTTCGGGTAATTCGGGCTCAGTAATCGGGTAAAAGTTCAGACTTTTCGGTGGTCGCGGACGGCCTATCTAAAATTTCAGTACTAATCATTTTTATGAGAGAAAACATTATAACAATGTAACTTGAGTCATAAAATGAGCATACCTTTAAACTCAACAATGCATGATTGATCATGCCTTTTAGTGAATAAAAGTGGCGAATATTGGCAAAGCGAAGCTCCTTGACATGGCCAGTTACGTTGTTGCAAGACGCCATACCATGCAAAGTACAGAATCCTGCTTGCTTCTTCTGTCAATGCAAAGTAAACCAGAGACTCTACCACTGCCAAGTGCCAATGCTAACACGATGAATCTATGGCTTGTAGAAGCATATTCACGGTAATCCATTCTCTGGTTATGTAATTGTAGTGTGTTTGCCACTTGGAAGAGCTATAAAATATTAACATAAATCCCGGCATCAAAGCAACAGCCTGTCTGAGGGGTCTAACAATAACTTTCTTGAAAGCAAAAACAGAGTCTCTAATACTCTGCCAAGAAGAATTGCTTCTACTAGAAGTACACGGAAAAGAAGAATTGCAAGAGCTATGATGATGATGTTATAACTTCATATAAACATACACTAATACACTTTCTGGTCAAAAACACATTAGTAGCGTGCTTTGCGCTTTGAAGAGCTATCTTATGAGCACTCCTGAGGTGAAAATTATTACTTAAAATCTAGGAAACATTCATATTGGATCACCAAGAATCAATATATTAATAAACAGTGTACTTGAATCCATAACAATAAATTATTCTCTAAAATCATATAATTTATCTTCTAGATCAACACGTTTTTTTAGAGAATCTTTTAGCAATGTTAGAAAGAATAGAATGCTACGTGTGATTGGAGACCATAACCACTATATAGATAGATAATTTCTTGTTATCTTTTGATATTTTTATTTTAACTCATCATAAAAATAAAAATTATTCTTAAGTCTCTACATATTAAAAGTCCACACCCTATCAGATACATTAAAGTTCAAATTACTCAAACGTTAATAGATCACTTTTAAATGAGCTTAACTTTATATGACAGTTTACAACACATAATTATTCACATATAAACTTAATATTCGATTAAGAATCCAACACACTCATCAAAACATAATCATTACCTCTTGACTTGATATTTAGGTATGGAGTTCTTAAGATACGAGAGTATTGTCTAGGCGTGATGGCTTGCAACTTTTGAGACATTTGCCGAAACTCGTGAATTTCGAGCAGTGCTGTTGACACTACCACCACCTTCTGGACATACTTTGCACAACTGTTCCAAGTGCTCCCGGAGCTAAAGTCACCGCAGACCAAGGCAATCTGCTTGGCGATTTGCGAGAGAAGTGACTTGAAGCTTGACAAGAGAGATGAAAGTGCATTGCTCTTTGATAAACGCCTTGAGATGCTTATGGTTGTTGTTGAGCAGAAAAAATCTGAAGTTGAGCAGAAAAAATCTGATGAAAAAGACTCTCATTTTTCTTTGAGGAAAAAAAAATACTATCATTTTGAACTTGAGCATTTTTATTTTTTATTTTTTTAAAATAGAGTATGACCTTGTCCCATATTTAGCCTTTTCGATCGCAAAAATCGTTAACTGATGAAATCAACCATATGACACTCACATGCTTAACTAATGAAATGTTTTTTTTTTTTTTTAAATTCATGTTTAAGTTTAAAAATTAAATAAAGTACAAAAATAATAATAAAAAAAATTCTTTTCATACACGTGTTTATTGCTACAAGGTGTCTGAGGGTTTGTTTAAATTCATTTCAAAGACGTTATTTGTGTAAAACAACCTTCATTTACAAGTTATGTGAGATGGAAGCAATTGATTTCCTTGAATTTCTAACAATTTTTTTTTTTTTGTGATTGGAGTGACAAATATGAGATAAACAACATAGTTTTGGGTTTACTTTGTAAAGTTGAGAAGTTTGGAGGCCAAAATGGTACAAGCAACATAGTCATACAAAAACTATAGTCAAGGCTTTAAGCCCACAAAAGTGTCAGCTTCAGTAGTAGTCTTCTCTCCAGTAGCCGAAAGGTCCATTGTCGTAGGGCCGAAAGTGTTTTCTTCTCCGCTTCAATGGCCAACAATCCGTCGCAGCTACTCCCTCAAGGTACACTGCTCTTTTCCCACTCTCGCATCTCTTACTTATTTCTTGTCTTTCTGCCACTTTCTCGGGAAAATCGAACTGGAAATTTGAAACCTTTTACGGTGGTGGAAAATCTGCAGAGTTAATCGACCGGTGCATAGGATCCAAAATTTGGGTCATAATGAAGGGCGACAAGGAGCTCGTCGGCACTCTTCGGGGCTTCGATGTATATGTAAACATGGTCCTTGAAGACGTCACTGAATAGTATGCTCCTTATCATACACTCGCTGTAAAACCCTAATTCGATTGCCTAGGTTTTATTTTATTTTAAATTTAGTTTTTGATTTTAAGCTAATGCATTTCCTTAGGGTTCATTTCATTTCTTTTGTTATGTTAATAACTGCATTTGATAAGCAGATATCGGGATTTGGCTTCTTTAATTTTTTGATAGAAAATGAGCTAAGAATCCCTTTGGTTTCTACGGAACTTTAGAAAGAAAGGGGAAAGAAAGTTGAATCTAAAGAAACTGGTTAGGGCTTCCTGCAATTTGTACTCTCTTGTATGGAACTATCGCGTTAGGGAAATTAGCGTTGGTTTTAGTAAACTTTGCAGAAGAGAGCGATAGAGAGGAAAATAGGTCGTATTATCTGAATTCTGATGCAGCTCTTGAAATCGGGGCAGTAGTGTTTACGATGGAAGTTTGTTCCTTATGTTTATGAGTGGCACGCTTGTTTTGGTGAAATGAATCAGATAATATAAGTTTTTAATGGTGATGAATAGATTGGGAAACTCTATTTTTGAAATTGCTTTTTAAGTGTTTGGTAGAGTTACTTTTCACTTCTTCTTTTCATAATCTTTGTGTCATTTTAAGGTTCCTTCTGCAGATTCTCTTCCCTCTCAATAGTTTGTGGTTTTTCTGTGTTCAAATGCTTGTGTCAAAGTTTCGCTGTGGAAATATCCTGATGAATTAACTTAAGAGAACAATGACGTGAATTTTGATAAACTTGAAAAGAAAATGAAGAACAGTTTAGAGCAAGACAACGCGAGATTTATGCACAACAAGCCAAATCACAGGCCTGAAATCTGTTATTAATGGTGGAAAATACAGTATCACAGGTTTGGGTATGAGGGTGTTCGAGTGACCCCTTACACTCCCTAACCAAACTTGTCTAAGAAGTTCTGAGAATGATCGAATGAATCCTTCTCATGCCTTATCTAAACTATTTATGCTATTCCTCTTTCTAGTAACTAACTTCCCCTTAACAAACTTAGCCTAACCGACTAACTACTAGCTATCCGCTTCATAACCTCCCCCTTGACTTGCCAGCTCATCGCTCTTCTACGAATTACCTCCATGACTCGCATCTCCGCTGCCTTCCTCTGCTCCTGCCACATTCCTCTCACGAACTCTCCTCCGCACATAGGTAAAACACAAAGGAGGCTTATCATTACCCCCGCCCCAAAGACGCACCTTGTCCTCAAGGTGGAAATGAGGAAACTGGCGATCAATGGCCTCATAGGACTCCCAAGTCGCATCATGCGCCGGAAGATGCTCCCAACGGATTAAAACCTCAGACTCAGAATGTCCCCCTGCCACTCGTTGGTGCACGCCCAGTAAAGCTTCTGGTGTGACGCGCAATTCCAAATCACCTATCAACTGGGGTGGGATCGTAGACACAGCCTGGCCATGGCCAATAGCGTGGCGCAGCTGGGAAACGTGAAATACCAGATGGATCGTAGCCTCCTCCGGCAGGCAAAGACAGTACGCCACTGGACCAACTCGGGCAGTGATAGCAAAGGGACTAGAAACGTGAACTTAACTTCTCATTGCGGCGTCGGGCCAAGGACACCTGACAGTAGGGACGCAACGTGAGGTACACTAAATCACCAACCCCATACTGCACATCACGGCGTTTACCATCGGCCACCGATTTCATTCGCTGCTGAGCGCGAAGCGAGTGAGACTTAAGTAAGTCCAGCATGGCATCTCGGTCCTGCAATTGCTGATCCACCGAATCCACCACGAATTTGCCGAGGCCATAGTGCAACAACAGAGGTGGAGCACGGCCGTAGACCACCTGAAAAGGAGTAGTGCGTGTTGCGGTATGAAACGAGGTATTATACCAATATTCAGACCAAGCCAACCACTTGTGCCATTTTTCCGGTTTATTTGATGTAAAACAACGCAAATAGGTTTCGACACACCGATTAATCACTTGTGTTTGACCATCAGATTGTGGGTGATAAGCGGTACTGCGCGCGAGGGTAGTCCCTATCTACTTGTGAAGTTCGGTCCAAAAATGATTGAGAAATATACGCCTATACGGTCACGGTCGGTCACAATGGTACGCGGAACACCATGGAGGCGAACAACCTCACGTATGAAACACTTAGCTACTGTTTCAGCTGAGAAAGGATGCTTCAAGGCAATGAAGTGTCCATATTTGCTAAGCCTATCGACAACCATTAAAATAGTGTCGAATCCCTCCGAACGGGGTAGCCCCTCAATAAAATCCATTGAAATATCCTCCCACACTCGTTCGGGAATGGGCAAAGGCTATAACAGGCCACTCAGTGCTAATGTGGAGGCTTTGCAACGCTGGCAAATGTCACATGCGGCCACATATGAGGTCACATCCTTCTTCATCCCCGACCAAAACCAATCCGCTGCCAAGCGTCGGTAAGTCTTAAGGACACCCGAATGGCCTCCTAGAACCCTGTCATGGTAAGAGTGAAGCAGTTTAGGAATGAAAGGCGCCTAGGCACTACCATTCTGCCATCATACAACAACCGCCCCTGCACTAAGGAAAATTCAGGATAGGCCTCGGACTGGAGCTGTCATGCCGAAATAATCTGGTCGAGTTTCTCATCTTGCGACAACTGGTGCTGTAGCTCTTGCGTGTTAACAATGGACGAGACCAGCAAGGCACTCAACCCCGGTGAGTAGACAAATACGAGAAAGAGCATCCGCGGCGCGATTTTCTTGCCCCGATTTGTACTAAATTCGAAGTCATACCCCATCAACTTAGTAAGCCATTTTTGGTGTTCCACACTCACAAGGCGTTGTTCCAACAAATACTTAAGACTACGCTGATCAGTGCAAATCACAAAATGTCGGCCAAGCAAATATGGCTGCAACTTTTGTACCGCCAAAACAATGGCCATTAATTCTCTCTCATAAACCAATTTCCCTTGAGCCCGCGAAGACAAAGCTTGGCTAAAGTATGCAATGGGTTGCTGGTTCTGCATCAACACTGCACCCACGCCAAACCCCGAAGCATCAGTTTCGAGCACAAACGGTTTTGTGAAATCAGGAATAACTAAAACCAGCACGGAGGTCATAACGCGTTTCAAATAAGAAAAGGCTTTTCAGCTTCCGCCGTCCACTGGAACCCATCCTTCCGAAGTAAATTCGTTAAAGGCCCTGCGATGTGGCTGTACCCCGCGACAAACTTCTGGTAATACCCCGTCAATCCCAAAAATCCCCACAAGTCACGCACCGTGGTCAGGGTTGGCCAATTCAGCATTGGGTCTATCTTGGCCAAATCCGCTGACACGCCTTTGCCTGAGACAATGTCCCAAATACTCCAAAGACTGTTATCCAAAACTACACTTCTTCGCATTTGCGAAAATATGGTGTTGTTGCAAAACCGCTAACACTTGATCTAAGTGGTGAACATGTTCCTCCAAGGACCGACTGTAGACAAGTGTGTCATCGAAGAAAACTAAGACAAACTTACGAAGGAATGCTCGCAATACCTCATTCATGAGTGACTGGAAGGTTGCGGGAGCATTTGTAAGCCCAAATGGCATCACCAAAAACTCGTAATGGCCCTCATGTGTGCGAAAAGCAATTTTGGGCATGTCCTCCGGTTTGACTCGAATTTGGTGATATCCCGATTTAAGGTCAATCTTAGAAAAAATTGCAGCCCCGTGAAGCTCATCGAGAAGTTCATCAATAATCGGAATAGGGAAACGGTCCGGTACTGTTTCCTTGTTTAAAGCCCTGTAATCCACACAGAAGCGTCAGCTTCCATCTTTCTTCTTAACCAAGAGAACAGGACTGGAATATGGACTCACACTAGCCCGAATAATTCTTGCGGCCAACATTTCACTGACCAACTTCTCAATTTCTTCCTTTTGGACCTGAGGATACCGATAAGGTCGTACATTAATCGGAGAAGTTCCCGCCTTAAGCACTATCGCATGGTCCTTCGCACGCTCCGGCGGCAACTTTGCAGGCATCTCAAACACCGAGGCTCTACAATGAAGCACCTTAACCAACTCCTCGGGTACCTTCCAATTGCTTTCCTGAGTACTTAACTCCATGTTGTTCCATTCCAGCCACAACCCTTGTCCCTCTTGACTAAACGCTCTCTGTAAGGCTTTTAAAGACACCGAAGACCTATTTAATCCGAGGTCCCCTTTCAGAATTTCATGGTCAAATTCTTCCAATTCACCGTCATTACTCTAAGTCTCCAACCACTGAATGCCCAGAATCATATTCGAACTTCCTAACTTCAGAGGCAAGAAATCCTCCACGACTTCTATTACTGCAAAGTGACCATGGCACCCCTGCATACTCCTTCGCCCTTAACAGACAATCCAGTCCCTATAATCGCCCCATAATCACATGTTCGGTCCACTAGCAATTCCAATTTTCTCACTAATTCAACAGAAATGAAATTGTGTAGCTCCACTATCAATGAAAACTATTACCTCCTGTCCACGTAGTATTCCTTTGAGTTTCATGGTCTTTGGTGATGTAAATCTGACCACCGAGTTTAGGGACAACTCGACCACTTCTTCCTCTGCCTCGGACTCTGCACCGTCATCCCTTTCCCCTGCACAATCCTCCTCTTCACGGACGATGAGAACCTGCAATTCTTTGTTCGGGCAACGGTGTCCAAAGGAGTACTTCTCGTCACAATGATAGCACAATCCTTTCTCTCTCTTCGCCTGAAGCTTTGCGTCGGTGAGTCTCCTGAATGGCGCCGCCCCGCTCGAAGTGTCCTTGGGTTTATTGGTTGCCACAGAAGAGCGTCCAGTGGTCAACGTTGGGTTTGTTAGCTTTGGCCCACCGCCAAACGTTGGACTACTCCTTAAACCAAACCCAGACGGAACATAGCCTCCCTTATTCTAGGAACTTACTGGAGCCAGTTGGGCCTTGGGCCCGCGAACCAATTGGTTACGCTCCTCCACCCGTTGGGTGAGCTCCATAATGCGGCCCAATCCACTGGGTTTCAGCATGCGAATCTCAGCCCTCACCTCCGGCTTCAATCCATTCACGAACGCGCTCTCCAAAACTTGCTCAGAAATCCAAAGTCTTGAATTGCCGGCGGTACTCCCTCACCGTTGTTTCTTGGTGCAGCGACAAGAACTTCTCACAAAGAGTCCCTTCTTGCGTCGATCAAAATCATTCTAATACCATCTGTTTCATCTCCGCCCAATCTCGGATCGCCCACCGACGATCTTCCCACTGGAACCAAGCTAGGGCTTCTCCTTCAAAACTCACCACCGCCACGTCCAATTTCTCCATCTCCTCATTCTAATACCATCTGTTTCATCTCCGCCCAATCTCGGATCGCCCACCAACGATCTTCCCACTGGAACCAGGCTAGGGCTTCTCCTTCAAAACTCACCACCGCCACGTCCAATTTCTCCATCTCTGACAGCCTATTCATGGAGAAATATCTTTCTCCATCTGGATTTTCACCATCAAAAACCGGCATCTCTACCCTTCGAGTCCAAAATTTTGCACGAGCTCCTCCCTCTCGCCATTCCGCCGGTCTCTCTCCGGTTTCTGCCGTCGGTGCCAATTGTTCTGCCGGAATCCCGTTTTTTGCCTCCAGCAACTCCCGATCTGCGGCACTCTGCTGCTTCAGCAACTCGTCCATCCTTGTCAACAACAACTCAAGCCCTTGCTCCAATCAAGGTATTTTCCCCACATCCTCACGCAACGATTCCATCTCCTTCAACAAATCTTCCTTATTTGCCTTCATTCTCTCTCCTTCTCACGATCGTCAGTCCTCCTCGTCATCCCGGGAAAGTGCTCTGATACCAATTGATAAACTCGAAAAGAAAATGAAGAACAGTTTAGAGCAAGACAACGCGAGATTTATGCACAACAAGCCAAATCACAGGCCTGATCTATGTTATTAATGGCGGAAATTACAGTATCACAGGTTTGGGTATGGGGGTGTTCAAGTGACCCCTTGCACTCCCTAACCAAACTTGTCTAAGAAGTTCTGAGAATCGAATGAATCCTTCTCATGCCTTATCTAAACTATTTATACTATTCCTCCTTCATAACCTCCCCCTTGACTTGCCAGCTCATCACTCTTCTACGAATTACCTCCCTGACTTGCATCTCCACTGCCTTCCCCTGCTCCTGCCACATTCCTCTCACAAACTCTCCTCCGCACATAGGTAAAACGCAAAGGAGGCTTATTAAATTTGTTATAGTGGTATGAATCATGCTGACAGTACATGCTGTTATAACTTGGACTATATCGGTAATCAACAAAAGACTCTACGTTAATGATATCAGACCTGAAATAGTGTAACTAAGGGACAAGAAAAACTATCACAATGCGCTTTCCTGATGAAGTTTTTAATTCTTGCGGAGACTTGACGTTATGGCTTTACTGCATTTTTTTACGTCTCTAATAAAACAATTTCATATACTGAATCAACTTTGTCATGCTGCAATTGTTATTCATGCAATAGCCATGATCTTCCCGAAATCCACCCAATCATAAAGTGGTCTAATTTTGTTGGAGACTATAAGTTTAACCTCAAAGGTATCAGCATCCAGGACTAAATATAAGAAACATGCTTCCCTCCAGAATTATAGGAACTAAAAACAGCTTGATTTTAGTATGTCAGCTAAGTGTACATGTTGGTTATAAATATTGTCCTGCGAGTTGATATTCAATTGTTTCTGCATACTGGTGTTTGTGCAAAAAGTGGTTGTTTTATACAAAGACTTTGCATGATATTGAATTAAACTTTAATCTTTTATTTACTTATCTCGCTAGCCATGGCACCGTGGTGGGAGCACTTGCGTTTGCACCTGGGGTCCAGGGTTCGAATCCCAGAAACGGCCTCTCCTTCGGGGGGTAAGGCCGCGTATATATATGATTGAGCTTTCCCCCGAGCCTGTTATAGTACGGGAGCCTCTTTGGCACTGGGGTCTGCCTTTTTTTTTTTACTTATCTCGCTAGCAAACAGGGTAGATGTGATCCTAATTCCATTAAGAGATACAGTTATTCAAGGATGTCTTACATAATATTCCTTTAATCCAACACTCCTCTTTTCATTTCCTTCTCTCTTTCTTATGCACTTGTGCTCTATTCATGTTTTCGTTCAGTGAAAGCCTACTTCGGCGCTATGGAATGAATAAGTTTTGTCCGTTTAGTCGCTCTTAGACGGTTCATTAAGTTTCCACCATTGAACATGTTAAGCATGTTAACATTTTAATGTTGGAAGGCTTATGATCCTAATTTGTCTTGTCCTTCTCTATTTGAATTCACAGTGAGATTACTGCTGAAGGAAGAAGGATTGCATACTGGTGTTTGTGCGAAAAGTGGTTGTTTTATACAAAGACTTTGCATGATATTAAATTATACTTTACCGATTTATCTTTTATTTACTTATCTCTCTAGCAAACAGGGTAGATGTGATCCTAATTCCATTAAGAGATACGGTTATTCAAGGATGTCTCACATAATATTCCTTTGACCCAACACCCCTCTTTTCATTTCCTTCTCTCTTTCTTATGCACTTGTACTCTATTCATGTTTTCATTCAGTGAAAGCCTACTTCGGCGATGAATTAAGCATGTTAACATTTTAATGTTGGAAGGCTTATGATCCTAATTTGTCTTGTCCTTCTCTATTTGAATTCACAGTGAGATTACTGCTGAAGGAAGAAGGATAACCAAGCTCGACCAGATTTTACTTAATGGAAACAACATTGCAATTGTAAGTAAGACGTCAGTTTAAGACTTTTTATTATTGAGCTGAGACTTTATGCAAGTTCACCTTAATTATTGTGCCTGTGGTTGATAATCTTCAGTCTTCTTCATCATGGCTCCGAAACAAATTTCCCAGAAATATTTTGAAAAACACGGGACAAAGGCTTGAACTTGATAGTTCAAACTTTTGGAACTTTTTAATCTTTTTATCTAAACTATAAAGATTTTTTTTTCTCTGCAACGTACCTGTCAGTGATACCTTCTTATTGAAAGCTACCTAACACCAAGATGTTTAAATTTGTTCACAATGCAGCTGGTCCCGGGAGGTTCACCTGAATCGGAATAAGATAATTGGACCTCTGCGCCTAGTTGTTGAGTTGATTTTTGCTTTTCAATTGGTTGGGCCAGACTAATTTTAAGTGAAGATATATGCCTCCCATTTGCTCTTCATTTTGAAGTGCTTTGTTATTAACTAGGTGACATCTTTGTAAGATGATGGTAGAATTTTTTATTATTATTTCTATGTGTATTGTCTGGAAAAAAAAGAATTCTACAACTGTGGGGAATGATAAAATATTCTTCATTCTAATTGTTAGTGTCATAGATATTGATATACTCTGAGCATTACTGATTTATATATCTAGAACCTTTACTGTTAAGTGTTTGTTTTGCTGATTTTCGTTTGTTTTTTATAAAAAAAAAAAAAAAAAAAAAAAAAAAAAAAAAAGTGTGTTTTGCTGACTAGAAGAAAGCGTGAAGAATGAAAATAAGATAAAGTGATTTGAAACACTCTTGAAAAGATTCCAAGTATGAAAAGAGGATTTCTCTCCTCTCTCTCTCTCTCTTCTCCAAAAAGAAAAAAGAAAAAGACGTGTATTTGTATTCAATGACGAATTAGGAATTGATCGTGAACCAACTTCTAAGCCAGTGAAAACTTTTGAAATTAAATTTAGTTTGTGCAAAGTCTTAACTTGTTATGAATGGATCTTGTACTCGTAGATCATCTGCTTAGTATGACATTCCTTGATTACAATTTGTTCGTAACTTCGTATACAGAAGTTATTCATTCTTTCGTACATTAGTAATGTGAACCAAATAAATGATCACTCAAACTCCCGCAACGACAAACTGATGGTTCACTCATTATTTGTTTTGAAGGAGTCAAAAGATCATTATATTAGGGCAAGTAAGAATCTAATCAGGTGAAGTAATTCGGGTTCCATAGCACTAATGCAGTGTTGCTGCTGAAAGAGAATTAGAAGCCTAGAAGGGGAGTGGATTATTGAGCCCGTAAAGCCACGTGCATGTATTTATAACGATTTTATTTACGCGTTAATTATAAGCCCCTTCATATCCGTAAGTTATTTCTACCTTTCATTTCCATTTTCAGTTGTACATCAAAGACTCATCTCTTTTAATGAGAATCCTAAAGATACCTTCTTCATAGAGTTTTGTTCTAACCGTAAAATATGAATTAATTTTTTTTTTTTTGAGACTATTTATTCCCAAAAAATAACGAGACCCCAACGCCACTAAGCAAAGACGGTTGTATTTCATTTTGTCACCAAGTTTACTGTCATAGACAAAAGTTGGCAGCTGGTATCTGATAAGAGCACGATACTTCCGGACTGAGACCGCTTATTTCCGGAAAGAGAATTGTAGTGAGAAGGATAATTGTGGTGTGAAAACGAACGACGGTCTTCAAAAACTTTGCTCCAAAGAGGCCCAAAGCAAGCTTTTTGTTTGTGACAGGGATAGTACGAAAGTAAAAGGAAAATAGTAAAAAATATACCTATATAAAAAGTTTAAAAAAGTATATAGGTCAATTTTTAGTTATAAAAATTAATATGTCATAATTTGTTAAGTTATGATTCATAATCAGATAAGTTATGGACAAACTTGTCAAGTTATGGTTTATAACCAGACAAGTTATGGATAAAAACCGTGATTTATAGACAATAACTTGTCGAGTTATGGTTCATAACCAGACAAGTTATTGATGAAAACAATAATTTAGCTTATTTATTAACTTATGTAAACTATTGGTCTATTAATTTTAAATCGTTTCAAGTTTTGGCCTATTTTCCTCTTTCTCCCTTTTAATTACCTATTTAGACCGACCGGTAATATGTGATTGGGAATATTCTTAACGGTTCAAGACTTCCACCAGATTTCAATTCCTTTGCCAACAAGTTTGTGTCGGTTGGTTCTCGGGATTTTAAAAAGGAAACCTTTCAATTTGCATGACAACATTCAATTATTCCACGGTATGAAAGTGCTTCTATAGGTATCTCGCTTTTGAATCTCTCTTTTATCACTAATTCATCATTGGTCTCCTTAGTGGGAGAAGATTTCTGTTAAGAATGCGTCTTTTTTTTTTTTTGTTCGTTAGCTTGGGCTTTGAGTCATTTTTCAAAATAAGGAAAGAACATAGTACTTATATCAATCGCATAAAATTGACGCTACTTTTTCCCCCTTCTCTTTGCCCCCGCCAATGACGGCCCGGTTAAGTGTGAATGCAATCACATCCTAACCACAATCAAAGCGCCGCATGCATAATGACTAGTTTAACAGAAAATTCAGATTCGCTGTTAAAATTTGGACTCTTCAAACACTCTTATGAAAGCGAGATCACTTCGCAAAGCGTTGCTCATTTTTGTGCACCACTCATCGTCCCTTCAAACATACTTAATTGATGTAGGACATATATGTATGTTACATTACATAATCAAGAAAAAAAAAAAGACCTAGGATCATATGTACATGTAATATATTTGATAGAAAATCCTAGGATGAATATTATTATTATTATTATTATTATCATCATCATCATCATCTGAAGTGCAACTTTTTCAAACCTAGTCTCAGTGGGTGAGTTTGGGAAATACAGATATTGAGATATATAGGAAGCTGGATTAAACTGCGGGAGAAACCGGAGCCAACTTTGACTTGTGGCATGTGGAGTAAAGTGAAAATGGCAAAAGACAAAGGCAAAGTTGGGACATAAAATATTTTATTTCAAATATTAAAAAAATAATGATAAAGCAAAATGCCGGTGAGAGTGCCTTTTTGTTTTCTTTTGTTCGTGTTATTCATTGAATTTCCCCGTATATATAGACAGTCTCCGGCGTCGGCTTCTGTAGAGGAGGGTGAACTCGTTATATGACCAAACTGCTTTTACATTTATTTCATCGAAAAACTACTTTTACTTTTACGGTTTTACCTTTGGGGATAGAAGTTGTTAAAAAGCGGCAACTTGTGGTTATCATGCGACGGTTAAATTACGGATTAAATTACGGAAAAACGTCTTGTACAGATTATTACCAGAAATGTTGGTAAAAAAACGTGGCAACTTTTATCCACCTTTTTCCTTAAAGAAAAAAATAAATAAATAAAAAACTGCATTTTTGTGATACGGTTCATGCCCTACCGAAACACCCTAGAGAGCGAGAGAATGTCAGAACTTACAGCATAAGGGGAAACGTAAATGAGGCGATATTTCATGGTGGGTGTGTGGATGAAAGGATCTAAATTGAGAACTCAAAAAAAAACATTTTAAGGGGAAACTTTTTTTTTTTTTTTTTTTGCTTAGCTTGAACTAACGAAAAACATCAGCTTTATGAGCATGGTGAATTAATGGAAACTGGATCTGACTCCCAAGTTATCAATAAGCTTCTCACCTATGAATTTTTTTTTTTTTTAAAAACATTTTTTTACACCAAACAACGCCCCTCTCTCTAATCGATGGCGGCTACGCAAAACAGATTAAGATATCGGTCCACAGTACACACCCGGATAACAACCACTGCACGATCCGCCCTAAAGGATGGTGGTGAAGAGGATGCCCATCCTTCGGGTCAAACGGCGACCCGCCATGACGGCTGTCGGCGATGCAGAATTGATTAAGCTATCGGTCCACACCCGGATGACAACCACTGCACGATCCGGATGCCCATCCTTCGGGTCAAACGGTGTCAGTCATTCGACCCGAACGGCGAGCCACCCCCGACGAATGATGGCGATTCAGAAGAGATTAAGACACCGTCCAAACCCCGGATATCAACAATTACCCATCATTCGGGTCCAATGGCGACCCGAAAAGTCGGGTAACGGCGATGCAGAATTGAGTAAGGTATCGGCCCACACCGGATAACAACCACTGTGCGATCCGCATGGTGACGAAGAAGGTGTCCATCGTTCGACACGAACGGCGACCCACCCCGACGATTGATGGCGATTGAGAAGAGATTAAGATACCGGTCCACAACCGGAAAACAACCACTGCCCATCGTTCGGGTCAAACCCTCCCTAATGGGTGGCGGCGATGCAGAAGAGAGTTAGTATATCGGTCCACAACCGGAGAACAACCACTCCACGAGCCACCCCGACGGATGGTGACGAAGAAGGTGTCCGTGTTCAGGTTGACCGGCGACCCAACCCTACGGTTGGCGGAGATGCAGAAGAGATTAAAATATCGCTCTACACCCGGATAACAACCACTACCCATAGTTCGGCCCGAACAGCGACCCGCCACGACGGATGGTGGCGAGTGGCTGCCGACGGAAAGCCCCCCATTTCTTATATTTTTATATAACACCAAACAACTCGAATATTAAGAACATCAAACAAGAAACTCGCATTTCGGACACATTAAGAACATTATCACCACAACAAACTTGATGCAGAGAGCCAGGCACCAAAAAAAAAAAAAAAAAAGACGTGAAAAACAGTATATCACAAGTACTACTACTAATAAACCTTAACCGCATTAGTTACCATGCTTCTTCTGAATGTTGGGGTACACGCGCTTGGCCTTAATGGCGTTTGAAGCTTCTTCTGGAAACAGAGCAGCTGATGAAGTGCTGTTGAAACAGCAATTAGTATGATTGATGCCGTCGTCGTCGTCGTCGTCGACGACGATTTGGGAGGTATCAGCAGGGGCAGAGGTTGAACCGAGTTGAAGTCGTACATAATCAAACATCAGCTTCTTCACTGACCTCCTCTTCCTCGGAAAAACGCTTCCCATTTTCTGTTTGAACCGCGGCTCCGGCTGCTTCATCAGCTCGGCCTCCGCCGGGGACATAACATCTTCCCCGGTATTGGCCATCGCCGTTTTCTTTGCCTGGTCTTCCACATCTGGGTTTTGCTTAAACGACATATTTAGGTGTCTTTCGCTCTTTCTCAGCGTTTGTGTATGTGTTTGTTTGGCCGTGAGCTTTGGGGTATAATTTTGTGTTGTCTGCCTGAGTGCCCAGCGAGAAGCGTTTATATAAATGGAGGTGGAGGCAGTGGCGTGATGAGAAAGTCATTCTAAAATGCCCCCGTTGTGCCCTAAATTTTTCATTTTTTATATAATACGTCCTAAATTTTTAACTTTTGCAAATTAAACCATAACAATAGAAGTTCAATAGCAATAAGCATTATCAAATTAATAGTTTAGAATGCGAGATTTACAATAATGAACTTTGTACGTGTAAATCTCACTCTAAATCCGTTAATTTGATAACGTTTGTTAACTATAGACCTTAATTGTTATTAATTTTAAAGTATAGGATATGATTTGTTAAAATTGAAAATCTCGTATGTATTATTTAAAATACAAAAAATAAAAGGAACAATAGTGTAATTT